ACCAACACTTCTTAAAAATAATTGTACACAGTTTATTGATGTTATGATTTATTTTTCTTGGCTGACAGAACATCACTAAGTCACGGCCAATCGCAAGTTATTTACGTAATTGTCGATTAGCATATGGCGCCAGTTTGACCCCAACTTTCTCGTTTTTGTTTGTTCTAAAGTGTCTACACTCAGTCAAATCATTAGCATGTTTACAAATGGAGTCATCTCCTTTCTGTAACTACGGTAAACAGTAAAAAAAAACAACATTATGTGACTGCGTTGAACAGTTATTGACACTGCGATCTCTTCGAAAACCACCACTTCATGAAAATAATTGTACTACTGTTATTTGCTGCAGTCATCGAAGATGCAGTTATGATTTATTGACGTTTCATTATTTTTTCTAGACTACAAGCATGACGGAAATAACCAAGTCCTGGTCAATCGCAAATTATTCACGTAATAGCTGATTAGCATACGACTCCAGTTTGACCCCAGACACGCTTGTCTTTGTTCCAACGCGTCTCCACTCAGACAAAACATTAGCATGTTTAGAAAGAGTCATGTTCACGTCTGGGAAACTTATTTGCTGGTAAAACAGGGGTGAAGTATTGGAACAATGAGCAGGAAAACGAACATATTAACTTGTCTTAGTTTTATTCATTGCGAAAACAGATAGACAGCTTGATAGGTAACTAAACGTGTCATTTCCTGCCAGGTAGCCGAACTAAAAGAAGAAAAATAAAAAATATTTTTGCAGACGAAATTAGGTGGCCTAATTGATAGAGGAGTCGAATTGACAGAAGGATTACGGTAGTCAAGCATATACTATCAATGTCATATAAATAGTGGTTCATGACAAGGAAATCAATGATACCAAATTCACTCCAAGACTGTGATCATTCACAAAGTACAACTATTGGGAAAATTTAAACAATAATCATCAAAATCATTTATAATCATATTGCTAATAACTGACGGGAAAAATGTTAATTCTAAAAATCCAATAAAAATATTATTATAAAATGGATTGTTATTTAAGGCTGGTGATCATTGCACAACGTGTGGTCGAATGTCATGCATTTCACACGCATTGCATGCATCGCTATAAGTCTCACATCGAACATGGTGTGCCGTGACAACCAACGCCTCCCATATTAATTTTTGACATCTTTCAATCTATGGACATGAATACAGTGTAGGTGTGCAAGTGACTATATTATATATCTGTCACTTGCCTATTACTTTATAAAATACTTTTTTGTTGGAATTAATTGTTGCTGTTATGTGTATGAAGCTAATTGTCACTGACTTTTGATAAGTTGAATGTGAAGGGTAACATGGGGTGGGGGTGGGGTGGAGTATTAGGATATACATGTACGTTAGGGGTGGGGCAATAAGGAATTCTTTCCATGTGAAGTATAGAAAAAAATGTATTTTCAGTGGATTATATTTGCACTGATTCATTTCTTCAACGAAGACAGCGAAATTAAAGTAATTTACAGTAATGGAATATTATTCTGCCAACTAAAACGGGAAAATGACGAGGTGGGTGGGATGGGCAACGATTACGGAAAACCTATATTTTCATACATGAAAAACTACCTACCTCATGACAAACACATTGTCCAGATTTAAGTTTCAGACAATGACGACAAAAATAGAGACGTGATATAGGCAGACGAATACCACTATCCGGGCAAAATATTTGTACCTTCTCCGCTTCCATCAAAACCGCCATCTTGAAATGAAAGTATTTTTTGTATTTCCATCACACAGCTCATATATTATATATTTTGATATTTTGTATATCACATAAGTGGCTTTAACGCCTTTAATAAAATACTTTTACTATTTAATTACAAATATATAGTTAAGTTAACCAATCAATATTATTTATAAACAATCGCACACTTTACCCGAAAGTATAGACTATAAATGTACACTATCTACAGAAGACCAAGAATGAATGGACGATATAACAAATATATTCATTGGCTCACAATGACGTCATTTTAACTATTGACCAATTAAACAATCTCTTACTTAGCTCCAACCATAGTTCTTATAAGGTCACCGAAGGTCATCACAAGCCAACACCAGCATTTCTGGATCTTGTTTCAACCGGAGCTGGTTCATTCATCTATGCATTAAACGAAGTACAATTCTAATGAGCTCATTACGTAAGTCAAGGAAGCAAATATTTTTTTGAGCTGTTTTTACATCTCGGTTTTACCTCCCTGGGTGCATATTGTTATTTATCCTATATGTCCTGGCAGTTCAGTGTAATTTCCATACTATGTGATAAAAATCCCGGTAATCTAATTGGTCACAAATGAGGCAATATTTCAGGTGTTGTTTGTTTTACACAATATTATTAAAAATATTTCTCGTGGTTTGTATAACAGTTAAAATGTGTGTGCGGTATATTTGCAATGTTATTTCAAATTCCTCAAACCTCAATTTCTCCACGTACATAAATTTGTAGTAAGGCCTGGAACAAATCACTACACTGGTTTACTGAATCTGATATTGAAAGGTCACTTATGAGATATAATCTATTTGTAGTACCAGTGAAATTTACATATAAAAAAATATGTTTCTGTTGTGTGGCATATCACTGTGTCTCAATGATTCAAGCAGATTTTTTTGGACATACATGATCATATCCTCGCCCATCTATTTTTGGCGAGTAGCACTGTGGTAGTCAGCATTGTACCTTTTCCCGAAATGGAGATTCTCCCATTAGTATACATGATATTGCTTTATTTTTAACAAATTTTTGAATGGTTCTAACTGTGATCGCTAACATTCAATCAAATTCGACTAAATACATAGCAAAGAATGATATTTCACTAACAAATTTATTATGTGTTCAAGTGAATTTCATGAAGGTATGAATGTTTTTTATACATTTTACTCTTGAAGACCTATGGGCTTCATTCAAATCCAAAGAATGTGCTTTCATTCGATATCAAAACTATTTAGTAATGTCCATTAGCCACTAATTTTTGTAGGTTTCCTTCAATCATTTACTGCTACACAGTGTGTGATTGGTGAAGTCCTTTTCAATCATCATTTGAAATTTACAATTATAAGTATTGTATATAAAAAAAATTCATGCCTAGCCGGTACATAAAATTCACTGCATGAATTTAATGTAGATTAAATAAAAAAAAAAATATCTTTCTTAGGGAGTATATTTTCATTGATTGGAAGACATAGGTGTGTAACACATTATTGTGTGTCCAGGAATTCATCACCAGCAATCCTGAGAATGATGTCGTCTTCATCATCACCTGGTCCTGTGGCAACTTCTATTAAAAATAAACTCTCAGAAGCTTTCCAGGTAATAACTATAATTGTAATCTCCCAATACAATGTAACTACAATATTTCACCTCTCACCTTGTTTATCAAGCTTCCCATTGCGTGAATGGCCGTAATGTGGTATGAGACAATTTTGATGTTGTGTTTCTTTTCAAGTAAGTGATGACATCACATGCTGGTATTTCCTGTGACTGAGCATGCTCGCTCAAAACAAATCCTGAACTAAATTATGCCTGATTTGGAAAGCAAGACAGTGCAGAAAACTAAAAAAATTGAGATAAAAAAAAAAAAATATCACCTTCTTGAAATAAGCATTCACTTCTACCGCATTAATTTAATTTTGTTCGTATTTTCAGCCAGTCCATTTACAAGTGATTAATGAGAGTCATATGCACAGCGTTCCTAAGGGTTCGGAATCTCATTTCAAAGTTGTGGTAATATCAGACAAGTTTGATAAACAGACACTGATAAAAAGACATCGAATGGTGAATGAATCTTTGGAAGAGGAATTGAAGGGGCCAGTGCATGCTCTCTCCATCCAGGTAATAATATACTAGTATTTCATGTGCCCTCTAACAAGACTGATTTTGAGACACAATGGAATTCCAAAAATCTACCTTGGAGACTACTGGAGACTGAGGCCCTCGAAAAAATAAATAAAATGTTTTTGAAGATTACTATGCTTGTCCAGCAGTGCGCCCTCAATGTGTCCTAAAATGTAATTACCTTGGTGACAGTTTGGGAGAGAGGCATCCAAGAAAAAATATAATGTATCATTGGTGTGCACCATGAAAAATGTCTGTGTGTCAGTTACATGCCATATCAGCATATATTGTTTTAATTATAATTAATTATGATCTCTTAGTTATAACACTGGGAGACACTTTGCTCCATCAAATAACAAAACCCTTTTGTAATCGTAGTAATGACTTTATAGAAAGGTGTACTATTTGATTCTTTACTATGGGAGTATGGTATTATACCCAGTGTACTGGTAATAACAAACATTTGATACCAGGGAGCCCTCATGCCATGGCCATGCGCCTCTTACCCTGAGTAGCAGGTCCTTTGGCAATCATAAAATTCTGATCACATGTGGCCACAGTCTTCAACTGTGACCTGTCTGATAGTAATCTTGGCCCTAAGGAAGCCATAGAATGCTCTATTTTAACTTAGAATTATCAAAAACTACACACTCTGGTAGGGAGAACCCTATCAGCCTTACTTGGTGGTGCCGCTGAATTGCAGTGCTCCCTCTTGCAGTTTTTTTCTAGAAAAACCCCTGTGATACCAATAGTTATTTTATTTTACTAGGCTAAAACACCTGAACAGTGGCATCAAAGTGAAGTTGTATCAGAATCCCCAGCTTGCTTAGGAGGAATGAAGAAGGAAAACAAAAACAAATCATGATTGGAATATTCAACATTTCCTGACTAAATAGATGTCTGGACAAGGAAACCAATTCAAAGTGCATCATGGGAAGGCATGGTTGTTTTTTAAAGCTACCCAATAGTTGAGTTTGCTACGTTACAATAACATATTCTTGATAATCTGATTGGTGTCTCTGGAACTATACTGGTATATTCCATGAATTGACCCCTATCTACCCAGTCAAATTTTCTCTGTTTCAGAATTCAAGTAGTTTAAAGTATAGTTATCAATGTCAGAAAAACAAACCAAATTCATCCAAAAAATACATATTATAGATACAGTGATGCAGTATGTCAATTCCTGGAATACATCTCTGTGATTGGCTGACAAAGCCCTTGGTTTTTTATTTGTTGTGCTTCCACGAAACATCTTGTAATTCTAAATGCTGGGTAAGTATTGGCTTGAATAACAAGCATAATTGGTTTAAAGCTAGACGAAGACTTGACTTGACTTGAACACTAGCTGTTGTTCCAATTTGATATTTCATTCAAGTTTTCATGTAAATTATATACAATTTGTAGCTTTGAAAAAATGTCTTTCGAATAAAAACTTGATACTATTTTATATTTAAATATTCAAACATGACTACGCCCTCACTCACTCCTCTTTTATGGGTGAATATACTCATAAAATCTACTTTAAAATGTTCAATAACTGAAACAAATATTTTCTACAAACCATATGAAATCAATGGTTTGTAAGGTAAGCAACTTGATATCTACCGGTATGTACAGTATGTGATTAAGATATCATGATAGTGTGAGTTTCATGTGATATTTTGTATATCCTACTGTTATGTATTATCATTGTTGCAGAACGAGGTTCACGCATGCGCATTACGTTCATGACAGCTCAAAACCAGTCTTGTTGTTTGTGTTTCTCTGGCGAACTTTTGTGCAATATAACATTTCATGCGTCAATCAAATGTATGACATCGCAGAACACATTGAATGCTTGGAAATAAGCGAGATTATTGCCTTATTAGAAAACCTACCTTGCGAATAATCAAGAATAAAAACAGCCAATCAAACACTAAATAGTTCTTCCACAAACTCACTCATTTGCATATTATGTGATTTTTTCACTTACAATTTGCACAACACTTATATATCTTGATTCTATTAATCCTTGATAAAATCTATCTAGTACTTCTTCTCAGACAAACAGAAAGCTCTGTTGCATAAATATGCCATTATGCTTCTCACAACTGTGTATTTAACTAATAACGTGTAGATTTATTTCAAAAAATCTATTTTGTTAATTTCTAAACATTGCAGTGTGATTTTTTTTAAATTTAACATTAAAACATGTGCTTGGTAAACGTAAACTCTTTCTTGTTCAAATGTTTGTTTCAAAATGTTGAGGAACAATCTTTCGACATGAAAAGGCATACTGTACATGCTCTATGACAGAAGTGTGTTTATGGTGAAATAAATAAAAAATAAGTTGTATTTTCATGATAAATTATATACATTTTTTGTGCACTTATATTGGAGATGTGCTTTGAAACTGAATATGTAACTGTAAAATACTTTATTTCCGCTTGGAATTTTCGCTGAAGGGATGATTCAGTGAAATAAAATTCAGCGAATATACCTTTTTTTCTATATTTTACATTCAACTTGTCAAAAATCAGTGAAAATGTCAAAGTATTTTACAGTATACCCCGACAGGGGCTATCCCATCAATTGCTATTGAACACATGGCCTTTCATTGACATCTATTTTGATCATTGTGTACTATGCTCTGTATCAACAAAAAATAATAATAAAAGAAAGCGAGAGTACGAGAGGCGTAGTGAAAATTAATTCAAAGTTTAAGATTAGTCTTTCAAATGAGAAGTTTAATGAATAATATATACATGTTATTTGAGATGTACAACTTGAAAAAAATGTGATCCATAGTGTAGAAGTTTATGACACTTAAAGAAAATAAATTTGATTTTACATCCGTGGTTTGCAGTCTGATTTATACCAGAGCACCTGTACTTTTTCAATTCAAGTTTAATATCTAAAATTGGCTTGTAAAAGTTAAAGCGAGGTGGTCGTCGCACAGCGCGTGTTTGAATTTCATGTGAATAAACAATGTATTTTACACGCATTGTATACGTTGCTATGAGTCCCATATCGAACAGTACGCGGCACGACGACTGTCACCCTTTAAGGTATCAATAAGCATGGTTTTCAACATTAAACTAATTATGCCTGTGGGTTACCCCAGATCATCTATGCAAGTTTCATTGAAATGTGAGGATTATGCATATTATGCCAAAAAGGTAATAGTGTGCTTCAATTTCAATCTAAAACTTGATCAAGTCTTGAGAATTGTCCTCAGGCAATTGTGTACCAAGTCCTTTTTGAATTGCAATAATTTGTCTTTGAGATGCACATGTATCTGTGGAAAATTGGGTAATTATTATGCACGGACTAATCAGGTATGTGCATTGTCCCCAGGCACCTATTTAAAAAATTTCATTGAAATCTGAAGAGCAGTACTCCAGATATTGGTGGAACAGACATGCAGACAGGATAACTGCAAAGACACTCCCATTGTGCACGCATGAGAAAATAAGAGCATAAGAAATGATTGTTTTCATATATTTTAATATTTTATTTTCAGTTTTTGTTTTCATAGTTGAAATATCACAATGTACAGTAAACAATATTTGCAAGGCACAACGATATACACATGCAACAAAAATATCATATATATAATGGACTTAATATCTACAATTTGTGAAATTTCCAAAATTGGATTTTTACATACAGCTACCCTAGTAGGTATTAATAGCACAGTTGTGTAAAAAACGAAAAAGTCCCACCCGAAATGCTACCATTTCCCATATGTATCCTTCTGATCAATTTCAATTGAGAAATTGCAGTTGTCATGACCACATATTGGTAATTAGATCATGCTTGCTGTAATTAGCTGATGCACGTTTGAGAAATAATTATATGGTATATACAGTAAAGTACAAAAATCTGGAATTTTTGGGATGTGCAGACAGGGAGTTTTCCATAACCTTTGTATGCATAAAAGACTATAGTTATTTCCACTTGATTTAGTACACTGAAATGCCGATTTCAAATCTCTCCTGTGCATCTCTAGTCTAATGTACCACCAGATTTTTGGTATCATGGTACCACACAAATTATACAAATTTTAAAAACTTGTACATGTGATTGTCATTAAAAAACCCCTTAATCTCTGCATTATTACAGGATTTCAGTAACCCAGCAACTCTTATCACAGTGGTAGAATACTAACCAGTTACAATGTATATGGGTAAACATCACTTGGTCACAACGCACATAAAACTAAGAAATCACATAAAAACATGAATTAAAATGATTTCTCACAGTTTTTTTGCAATTTCATTGCAAGTACAACATATAAATACTCCACACAAGATTATAATTCAGTTTAAAAATCTGATATTTTACAAGTCACCTAAAACTTGGCAGTGAAGAAATAATAGAGATTACATGTTTATTGAACATTAAATTAAATAGACGTTTGATACATAAACATACTGGGTATATTCTTAGATCAAATCGAGAGAGATTAATTGGACTGTGTGACTTGATGATGAAATGTCATACAATGTTCTAATTTTTTTAAAACTTTTCTATAATTTTTGCGCAATTGGAAGCATACCTTTAGATGCACCTCATGGCAGGAATTTTATAAATATGTGTAGGATATAACTGTACTCAGAAAGTTAAAGGCCAGTACCGTTTTATTTTATTTTATTTATACCCTAAAGTTTTATTTTACAGATGACAGTACATTTGGAAATAACCAAGGAGGTTCTTATTAAAACGTCACAAACGACGCAATGCACCGTGTTGAATGTGGGCTCTCTACAACATGTGTGAAATAAATTGTTTACATGAAATTTAATTCCATTCCACACATTTTAGCCACATCCTTCCTAGGCTTTGGAGTGATAGATTTACTAAATATTCAATTTTTTGCAATAATAATAGTTGTGATTTGACCTACAAATGCATTTGTTTCATTTTTAATTAATTTAATTATGACAATCCAACAGGAAGGAAATATAATACCTTCAAAGTTATGTCAATATTACAAGAAAGAAATATTAGTGATTGTGAATTAGAGGGTATGGCCACAATAAGTGTGTGTTGGGGTAAATTAGTTACCAGTCATGGGGAGAGGCACAATATGCAAAAGTTCAAATCTAGGATAGTCAATATCCTATGAATTCTGTTATTTAACAGAACATTTAAACAATCTTATATATTAACAAGGCAACACATTATTTTTCTTACAATGTCAATTAAAAGTTATAATTGCATAGTACTCTGATGGCTAAGCTCTGCAAATGATTGTATCGACAATTCTTTAAAAAAAAAACATTTTATGATAAAATTCATACTTGCAACTTTTAAAATATCTCTATTTTTTTAGCTATAAAACATATACTGCTTACAATTTTTAATAAAATATTTACACTCTGATCGTATATTGTATAGCGCCCTCAAGTGTTCACATATACAGAAACTTGTTTTTCTGTATATTTATATACGTCTTTGGAGGAAGGCACCTTCAACATGAACCTCCAAAAAATACTGCATTTTCAATTGACTGCCATGTTTTCTTTCTTGGTCTCCATGTTCCACAGTCTTGGCACACTTGGTTTTATCTCAAGATTTGGCCAATGTCACCGCTTCATGTCAGAGAACCGCATCTTGTTAATTCCATCATATAGCACCATTCAAATGTCAGCTACGCACACTTGTCAAGTAAAGAGCGAATCACTTACTGTGTGAGGGCTTCTTTCCTCTGCAAAGTGAAAAGAGTGAGGGTGAGATAAGAATTGATATTACCGGTAAATGCAGGTGGTGAGAATCACACAGGATTTCGTCAAAATTTTATGCATGCATTGTTTGATTTTCCTACATGTACAACAAAATCCATATTTCGCTAGTATTTATCCTGTCATTGACAACATTACTGGTAGTGCAGCCATGTTTTTGCTAATAATGCCATAACAACATGTCATCTGTCAATGATGTCTGATCACTTAGTACTTCCGTTTCACATACATGCATATATGTGGGAATGATTTAATCCCACACTCCCAGGGGCCAGGGCTGCGAAAACATAGAATCCTTCTCTTGTTTCCAAGAATAAATACATAACAAAACAACTATTGTGAATCAGGTTTCAAAATAAGACACCAAATATTAACCATGTGTAAGGCAAATTAAACTAAGAACATTTTTTTTTTCAAATACTTCTGAATCAATACGTAGTCAATAGAAATGCAAGTTCATTTGATTAAAAAATAAATAAGAAAATTAAAAAAAAATACATAATAATGTACCAAAATTTTAGGAGTGAAAATAGTATTTAAACTAGTTCTACTTATTCATAGATTTTTTAATCAGGTATGGGAGAGAATTACAAAACTAAAATTGGTGAAAATCAGGTGGTAGAATTAAATGCAAGTTAAGTGTACATTTGTTTTGATTGAATACGAGAAGTAGCTTTTAGGTAGTTTTTACTATACCTGAATGTTTTAAACCTTTCTTTTTCGAATTCATTTTCTGGATTTTCACTCTCGTATGAAGCTAAATACAGAGCTGAAAATGAAAAAAAATATATTGTTAATACTTGGTTGCTAAGTGATCATTTACCTGCTTTAGGTGCATGTTATATCATTCATTGCATAAGAAAATTGTTGACTCAAAGATGGTTTAGATCGCATACCATTACTGCATACCCAAATTTTTAGAATCCAAGCAAATGGATACTCAAAGGTATATCTTTGGAAGTATTATAATAACAAAATATCACTTGATATCTCTCACTTTAGAGGACTCACCACACAGGTAATATGTTATATTTCAATGAAGCCGAGAAATACAGACAATGTCATGCAATATAAATAACAATTAATAGACTTACAATTTTCTGTAAATACAGGTGCAGTAAGTAAATAATTAAGTGCCTGTCGGTCCCTGGAGTACGGACAATCCACTTGTTTCCATGTGATAAATTCAGTAATCTGTTTGGCAAGTTGCCAGAATTTCTAAAAATAAAAAATATACATGAGTTTCTTTATGCACACTTGGTAAATGAAGTTATCACTTTGTAACATTGCTTCCTTGGAACATATTACTTTGAACATTTAAGCTGCTCACATGAGATAACAATAATGTCATCAGTTCAAATTTTGGAAGACTATTTTCTAATTTCCGTTGGGAACTCCTAATCGTTGCATCACACACAGTAAAGATACCGGTAATTGCAATGCAGTTTAAATGACAGTAGCAGTGACATAACCCCATGTCAAAATTCCAATGTAATTAAAGTCGAATGTATTTTAAAGGCAGTGGTTGTTGCACCTTGCATGCATACACAGGATATGGGTGCCATATTAACAAAGATGGCAACTTAAAGAATGCTTTGCAGGTCAACACATACAATAGAGAAGATTTCGGTAACTCCTAAGATGATTGGAGCACATCAAACAATCAAATACTGTATTTAGTGCACATCGTGACCAGGTCAAAATTTATATTGTGTTTCCCACTGGGTAAGCGCTCGGGGAACGTGCGCACTAGGTTGTGTTTATCAACACAAATCCCCGCATATGTCTCGAATGATAATACCATCAATAAATTATAGTAAGTTGAACAGTACTTACATCAAAATTCACATGTCCATTCGCTATCTTGTTTGCACAACCTTCATTCAGGAAATAAATATCTTTCACAAGAAGACTAAAAAATGGAATTACTATGCGATCACATCCACCAATGGATGCCTGTGAACGCTGGATGGCTGCCCTCAGTGACTGTCGATAGTTCGAAAAATTTGACGTTGGATCCATCAAGTGCTGTAAACAAAGAGTTATATTGTAAAACCACAAGTTTACAACATGGACATAACAGTCAAGGACAGACATATTGCTTAAAGCGGGAGGGTTGTCACCTGCGCACACACGGGAATTGAGTCCCAAGCAATGCTAAAACGCAAACGCTCATGAGTAGACGCTTGTTTGTAAACAATGACGCGCTATGGCCATCTGACGACTCCCCCGCTTTAATATGCATGTAAAAATAAAAGTTATTGCATAACTGAACACAAGAGGGCAGTGCATATCTCACCTCTAGTACTTCAAATTTAGCCGTATTCACTTTGGCCCATGTCTTTTTTAGCCTTGATACAGGACACATATTTAAACCAGCTAGGTAGAGAAAAAATAACCAAACGTTCAGATAAAGAAATGAAGTAGAAGCTTCAGACAAAGTGAAGTGACATTCATTGCATTTGTTATTTATACTATGTAATAAGTAGACAGCACACAATTATGTCATACCGGTATTTTTCGACGGTTCCCATCGCGTGACTGATTTCAACGAAATGGCGACTACTCAACCCTCAGTTTTCATATCATATCTTATGTGACTTTAGTCATGTGTATGGTCACTTAGCCAAAGCGTTTCTGTCTAAAATTTCTGCTTATATTTAAACAAAAATGTTCAAAATGACAGCTTATGTTGTTTTAAGTAATTTCTTTATTTTCACTGATAAATGAAATCCACTAAATTAAATCCATGTGAACATGACAACTAATTATTTTACTGTAAAATCAGTGAATTTAAATTCCAGTGAAAATTATTACAATAAGTGGTCTGTGCTGCCTATAAAAGATAACAATTTCTGAAATATACATTACCTAGAATCGCCATGAGCGAATTGAAGTTACCAATATTAAAACTCTCCTTGGCAACATCGATAAAATATTCTATAAGCCTGGCCCTATGTTTTTTCTTAATGTGCATGCACACTTCTGTTGCCACGAAATAACTAAGTCTGTTAAACCACTCCACGTAGGCCTCTAGGTTATTCGTTTTTTTGATATCTTGGAATGGAATCTGGAAAAAAAAATAATTAGGAAGAAAATTTTAATTAATATTATGAGTAATATTCTCATGAATTCAGCAAAAATGATGCTGCAATTACAGCAAGTCATCAAACAAATCAACAATTGTGCCCCGTATGGGGACTAAAATTAGTATGCGTCCTCACTGGCCCTTGCCACAGATGCTTTTTTTGACTGACAGTGTTCGAAAAGTGCAAACCACATAAGAAGAAAACTGTACTTACACTTCAATTAAGAAATGTTTTTTAAGACTGACAGTGTTGGAAAATTGCAAAACTAAACTAAAACTAAAACTGTATTTATATTAAGAACAACAACAAAAATAATTAGAAATTACTTGATAAAATATTTGTCTACCTTAATATCGTCTGTTTCCTTTTTCATAAAAGCTTGGACAAACTCTTCAGGACCGATGTTTGTCAGCCTTTCCTGCAAAGAACGAAAAAACATAAACTTGAGTTTCACACAAAACATGATATCCCACAATGCCTCACACAAAACATGATATCCCACAATGCCTCACACAAAACATGATATCCCACAATGCCTCACACAAAACATGACATCCCACAATGCCTCACACAAAACATGATATCCCACAATGCCTCACACAAAACATGATATCCCACAATGCCTCACACAAAACATGATATCCCACAATGCCTCACACAAAACATGACATCCCACAATGCCTCAATACAATCCTGGATGTTGACAGATACCCCATTTTTGGCATCACACACACAGATAATTAAATAGTTTCATTTTAGATATAATTTTATATATAATTTAAAACTCATTTAATACATTATCAAGTGGTGACAGATGAATGTAAGTAGGGGGGCCAAATTAAACACACCTGTTACACACATACAATAAAATATTAACCAATAATAAAGTGATCAACATACAACTAGAGACTGTCTCTGTTCTCTTGGATTTTGTTATATATGTATTATCTTAAAAAGTTGTATTATGAAATGTCTTTTTACATGTAATTTACCATTTGTGTTGATGACCAATGGATTAATGGATTGTGCTGTGAAAACAAAGGTGACCAGAATGAAGCGGGTGAGTGACCCATTTTGATTAATATCATCACTTACCAATTCTATGTGTGTGAGCTGCTGCGCCATGATGTACGGATCGGGACAGATTTCTATAACGTTTGTTTGGAACGCTGCAGGATTGGCTCGAAGCATATGCATACGATCAGCGGCAGCTGCATTTACTTTGGCAAGGATTTCCTCGTACTTTTCCAACATTGCAAGCTGGGGAATGAAAAAAAAACAATCCTTGTGAGTTATTGTTTTGTATTAATTTCATAGTATGGAGAAATACTACAGAAAAGCAGTAGTGAAAGTAATGGTAACAGATGTTTCTTTATTTTTTTCTTTTAAAATATGTTCTACTTTAAGAGGTAACATTATAGTATTGTCCATACAAAAGCTAACCTGATACAAATGATCTGTTCCCCTTTTATCACCAAACAGCTGATTAATTACAAAGCATTGATATGCTAGAGTAGCTGTGCCCATACTTCCAGTATCATCAAATTAAACAACAATGCAATGCATGGTGCAAACATTTTAAAAGTCATTTGTAAGCAAGTCACATGTTCTCAATAAATCAAACAACCAACCTATTGTTGGTGAAATAGAATATCATTTAATGGCGGTTGTCATGGAAAGGGTTGCTCCGACAATGCTGCATGTGATCGTAATGTCTATTCCACTACAGGGAATGTATCCCAATCATCCAGTACATATATCCACACAAACATCAGAACACCCTTACATATAAACATGCAAGTTGTTATTGTGCGAAAATGTATAAAGTGGTGTTCAATGATTTTGAATTATGCAATATCAGGACCAATGAGAGTTGTATAAATGAATATGAGTATTGTTGATAGCACTAAAGAAGAATTTTGCAGTTCACATATATTGTAAGTGAAATTTACACAATTTTAATAGAGCAAATACAATGTAGAGAATAAAAGTGATAATGTCACCAAAGTGCTATAAACTCTGTCCATTTGGTGCTCTCCTATGTACCGGGGTTATATACCGGTAGTATATATAATTTAGAGACAAGAAAAGCATACATTTTTATACACAAATTATATATATTTAAAATATATTAAAAATTGTACACCTACCCGCCTAATTAGAGTCTGCATAAGCTGGCCTATGCTTTTTCTTAGATTTACATCAATTGATGCACATTTTTGGGTGATTTCTTTTAAATGTCTCATCATTCGCTCATCTCTGAAGTCATATGGGAAGGTTTCTGTCCACTCGCTGCAGGAAAAGAAAAAAACAAATAAATTATTTTGAAAATTCCCTTCATATAATCAACAAGCAGCCTGTCGGCTGAGATAGCTCCGCTGTTAGCAATGCACATGGCAATTAAAGAACAGAAGATATCATTAGAAAATGAACAAATTT